GATAATTCTGAAATTCGCTGAGCAGCATCTGAGCAGAATGTGGCGTTTCTTTCTTTGTAGAGCTCACGTGAAGTATCAGTGCTTTCCGAAGTGCCTCCAGCAGAGATGAAGGCGCTCAATCGCGGCAGCATGGGACGGTTTTTCAGGTATGACCAAGAAGGCAGTGTTCGAGTAGAGAAGGATTTCTTAATCTTCACCAAACTGACCCCAAAGGACGGTACGCGCTTTAAAAAAGGGCTCACTAGATAGTGATATGCCCTTGCAGAGGTTCGATAGCACTTCTTGAGAGCCACTTAGTCCAAATAACAGACCAAATCGGTCAGATATTCCAGAGGGAGAGAGTGACTGTTCTTCTTTGATTTATTTGATACGAACAAGGTGACTTTTAGAACGTAGTCTTCTAAGGTGTGAGAAAGTCGGTACTAATTGCCTGAGTTTTGTCTTGAACTCACACAGAGCCTCCCTTAGTTACAGAAACGTCACGGAAATGTGAACAGATCCAGCACAGTGTTGGGGGCTGTTTAGCTTACAAGCAAACGAGCGATATCTGAGCCATTAATCTGGCTAGTTGGTCCCCTACTGGGTGTGCGTGAGGGACTGTTTCGCCCATTTTGTTCTATCGGGAAGAGGAATGGAATGGTTTCACCAAAAGAGTCCTAGAATGTTTCAAGGAGCTTTCGCTTGAATCTTCTCACGCTAGTCAAAGGAAGGAAAGGGGCCAGACGAGTTCGTACAACTTGCCTGCTCCACGGCTCAACTAACCCGCGCGTATTTGAATTAGCCGCTACGCCGTAATCCACGTTGCGTGTCAGGGTGTGCGCGACGTAACTCGTCCAAATGCTAAGATTAGTCGCCAAAGCTGACTTTGTAAGACCCTAGCGCCATTGTCGCGCACTTTCGAGCCGCGACAACGGCACATCTGTGCTACTCGTGGGCTACTCTATCCCACCCACTGAATAGATTCCTTCGACACAACTTCTGCTGGGGGTGCGGCTTTAAGTCGTAAAGTCATGTTCCAGACATTAAGAAGTGCCGCATTTTTCGACTTGAACGCCGTTTTTGCTCAGTGTACTGATATTTCAGTGAAATAAACTAACAAATTCCATTTCAGAAGTTATTACGTGCCTTTCCTTCTTGATCTCAGAACAAAGATCGCAGTTGCCATATTATTTATCGCATATTTAGTGGTACGTTGAATTCAAGTGATCTTCGTTTTTTCCTGATTTGAGTTCGTTTTCGAGGGGTGACACTACCGCATTTTTGAGTGACAACAAAATGGACCGTCACGATGTACCGATCCCAAGATTTTCACTACCCCACGTTTTCAAGGGGCTTTTGACACGACCCCCACTGCCATCACCTAAAGCTGACTTGATCAGTTCACCATAAAACCCCTTCATGCATGGACCTCCGCGGAATATTTCTGAAATAGCACCCCGAAACCAGACGACATACTCCAAATAAGCAAATAAAGTCGAGCTCCTCCCTTGCGCGACATGTCAAAACACGGCCTGGTGGTAGCGTGACCTCTCATGAGCGGCGGAGAAACGTTGGGGGGGTTTCAATCTGCTCGCTGCCTCCCCAGAGTCTCTTCCTCTCCCTGCAGCTTACAAGCGCAGGCCTTGGGGCATGGACAGGGTTTTTTCAGAACGATTTCCTGAGTGTTGTAGGGGCCATGTGAGGGACACAAACCATGGTCCATTTTCTCTGAAGTCCCTCAGAATTGTTAAAACAGCGAGAAAAAATGATCCCTTAACGTTCGATTCCTTCCGGTGATGAGAAATTTTAGATATTTATGCGTGGACGCAATTCAATTGCCGCAGTCACACAGCAGTGACATCTATTCCTGACGATGGCGTATTGGAGCAATGGGGCCGTAACTATTGCATTATTCAACACCGAGGATCGAACTCGTAAACATTTCTTTCACCGCTGTTTGACAGCTCGTCAGGAAATATGGATCGCGGTTCTGTTGGCTTCCTCGCCATGAGCACCCTATAGAGCAAAAATTGTCTTGAAAAACGCTCGCAGGTCATGAACATCTCCCTGTGTTAACTCGAAATGCTGTAAGTGCTCACTTACCCAAGTGGTCACCCCCCTCCCGCTCCCCTCCCGCGCTCCACGATCATGAGCGTAGGGCCTTTAAAACGAAACAACCGAACATGTTACTGCTCCGCCCCAAACTCTCTATCTCAGTTACACTCGACTCGAACATTCGTGTACCGCTGTATCCAAAGTAGCGTGGTGAGTGTCCCCAAGGGAACCTTTACATTCATCCGCTTCCTTGGGAATAACGATTGAGCTGGAAAACCTCAAGCACTTGTTGGTGAAGTCGCGCAACGATCGGGGAAGTCTGATTGCCCCAAACGGGAATATATTTCTGCGTTACCTTCAGAAAGCACTAACGGGGCCAAACGTTTCCTGTTTTTGATCATTTCTTATCAATTTTTAAAGGTCTCAATCTATGGCATAACAGTAATGGAACAAGGTTTGGACTATGACAAATTGCTCTTACAAACGGACCCTCTTGTGGAAGCATTCGCTAGAGAGATCGAGCTTTTTCCCAGCGGGGATCAGGTGGCCTCAATGCACTGCCGGAATGTTGCGTCCAACTATTCCAGTGAAATTCTATTCAGATCGAGATTGCCATCAAAAAAGCTCCAGACATGTCAGTCGCCGAAAACAGAGAGCGGATCGAGCAGATTGCTCAGAAATTTGAGCAAATCTCCTACAGTAAGCATTAGTCTCTTGAGATTTATTGTGACGAGGGTGATCTAGGAATTCCACACTGCAGGTAATGGTCCGAAGAGCACCTCACTATGGCTCAGAGAATACCTCAAATACGCTAACCTGACTGGTTCATTCTTGAACGACGATCGCGAGTCGTGGGTAATCGGGGTGTACGAGTGGTCTCAGCTGTTCGCCTTCTACAAACTCTGGTCCGTTCCTTAGCCCTTTTCGCGCTCTGCGGATTTTTTCAAAATTTCCCTTCAGGTCACAGGACTTTGTTTGGGCGAACCACTCCGATTATGACCACTTATCGTTGGTCTCGTTCCGATTCCGAATCGGCATCCATGACCTCAACACTCCAACCGATCTGGTGATGGTGACCGAAGAAGTGCGTCAGTTGGCCGCTCAGCATCCTGATCTCGAGATTTTCACCTACCAATACAGTCGTGCCATTGCTGATCAGGTGAGAATTCCCGGAGTGTTCGACGAGCATTCCAGATTCATCTTCGGCGTTTTCAGCTGAACGTGATTCTGCAGTCGACTATCCTCGTATAACTCTTGGCTTTTTTGTGGTCTGTCATGATCGTGATCAGTCTTCTCTTCATACCCAACCCACTTTGTGCCGTTTGGATCACCATCGCCATTATAACCATCGATGTCGGTATGTATCCTATATATCCCTCGGCTCTTGATCTTCACTGCTTCTACCAACCTTTGGTAACTTCCAATGTCAGCCTACTGCTCTTCTAATGTCGTGCCTTTGAATGTTTTCGAGATATTTATTGAGCTATGTAAGTCGTTAACAGTTCCCACAACGGTTCGGATTAAATCCACCATTGCGACAACCTCTTCAAACTTTAGCCAATGGTTTTTTTAAATGGATCAACATTACTACAATTGAATAGCCAAGTGGATTGTTGATTGAATGCGATCTTTAGCAAGATTTGAGGGAGGTGGGCAGGGGAAATAGGCGAAGTATGGTGTCGAGCAATAATTATATCCGGTTTTTTTTTTCAAGCTCACGGCTCTTTGATTTTGCTGATTATTTTCAAAGGTTATGATATGGATTTTGAAGCGGCCATCTTGTACACTTTGATGTACCACACTTGTGTGTTTACTTCACTATGGATACTTACACACTAGCAAAAAAGATTGCCCCTGCTACATGAGTGCAAGTTGAGCTCGAAACCGAATGCTTCTGCATCTGCTCGTAGAATCAATGAAGCCTGGGATGAAGGCACGGTTGCAGAGAGGACTGTTCGAGAGCGTTTGTTGATTACGCATTTATTGTTGTTTTGTTTGGTTTTGTTAGAAACTTATGAGAGAAATTGAAATGGTGGATAATTATTGCTCAAACTAGTACAAGTCTCTGTTTTTATTTTGCTGAGAGGTCTGTTACCTACAACGCAACCACGGAGGAAAGGAAAGTAAGTTGGCTGGTGCGCCATAGGACCATGCGCGAGATAAGTGGTGTTGCTTCCCGAACATTCGTGATCTGTGATGAAACGTATGGGAGTGTTCGACAGAACCCGAAAACAACCCGAAAAATACACTAGCTAGGATTACACACACGTAAACAGCAGTCTTACCTTTCTATTCGTCCTATTGACTATGAGCTCATGTAGATTTTACAGGAACTTGTGCCGCACAACGTAAAACCCACATAGGTGTAAGTTTCCTTACCGGTAGAATTGCCTATAAATCTGCTAACAATAAGTCTAGAACAAGTCAAGGCATCTGCCGTTAAACTTTCTTAAGAAGGCGTTTCCAACACAATAGCCGGATAACAGCCCTCAAACCATTGGATTGAGAGCCAGAATTCAAAACGAGGAATTTTTTTCTTTTGGTTCTGCCCCCTTGAGGTAACCTTTAGAAAATAGAATGGCTTACAAATGTCCACTTTCTTACATTTTTCACATTTTCTCCTTTTCAGGTGTGATCGGTTTTCTTTCGTTGTGGAGCGTTAAACTTGACCCTATATTTATGATCACCATCATCTTGAGTATTGGATTCTCCATCGAATTTTCAGGTGAGAATCTTGAAAAAAAAAACGTTTCGTTGCAGGCAAACCATTTATATTCGTTGAGGAAGAGGTCACGTTTCTCGGATCCGGGCCCTTTCTCACGATTTCTTTTTCATCCCTGCTCCTGACCACCTCTCCCCTTTTTCCAATCGGTTACCTTTTCGTAAAACAGTGAAGTCTGTCTCCAATCTTCCTTTCCCTCCCTACCCCTCGCGAACTCTAAGTCACTGATCGTACTATCGTGTAAATAATCATTGCAAGATTATTCTACACGATGTAGTTAGTTTCGTTTCTTTTTCCTTTTCTAATGCAGGTTTTTATAGTCACGTTACACCATGAAATTCGCAGCAATGAGGAATTTGTCTCCAAAAGAGCGATGTATAATTGCAATGGAAAAACTCGCGTGGCCAGGTAGTTCATTGACATCTCTATTTCCGTACACGCACTTTCAAACGCACGAGTTGGATTCTAATTGGTGTTTGTGTTTTTTTTTGCTCAAAAAATTAGCCAAAGGGTGCAATGGGGAGCAATAGATGGGAGAAAAAGCAAAGAACCCCATAGAAAACACTGCAATCCTTTTTGAGGTCGGGACCGTGGAACGACGCCAACTCGAGTTCGGAGAACGATTGCTTTTATGTCAAACCAGAGGGATTTGCTTGTACGTTTGAGCAGCCAGGGACCAGGATGAGTCACATATAGATGTCAATCCCCCTGCACTTTACTCCTGCTCCACGCTCAGCTCCCAAAGCTCACCTTCGTCTTTAGGTTCTAATTACATTTACCTAAGACTACCCTGACCATATCTAAGGCTTTACCGTTAAAGGTGGGCTGAGGTCGGGTTTTCATTGCGTATTCGAAAGTTTTCAAAAGATTTGTTAGCCTTCAAAGGGCAGAATTTACGATGAAAAGTTAGCTCATTGGAAATAAGGGTAGAGGTGGTCAGTGGAGCAGGGATGAAGAAGAAACCATTTGAAAACGGCCCAGAACCCGAGAAATGGGACCCCTTCCTTGCCCGTTGATTTGCGCATTGATGCGACTCTCATCGCTGTGCCCTCTTCAACACTACGCTCTCTCTGCTATCTAATCACTCGCCACGTATAGACCTGCGGCGAGTGATTAGATAGTCGGTGGGCGTACCCCGCCAACCGCGCCAAGAGTGAGCCATGCTAGATCGCCGAGGTCAAATCTTTCGCTGCCAATTGCGCGTCGGTCAGCACCCTCAGGAGGTCCGCCTGTCTCCCAACTATGCGACTTTCCCATTCTTATGACTTTCGTTCTTATCGTGAATTCCTCCTTTAATTTCACATTTCTCTACAACTTTCAAAGCTTCACGAAATTTTGTGCAACCTTCTTGAGAATTCTAATAAATATTTCCAAGGGTCCACTCCGCTACAGTTGAATATTACTCTCCCAATTTCGAAATCTTACAGCCACTTTCACACACTATGGACCGTCCAAACATCCATGTACTTCTTTCACGAAAGAATCCTCGACGTAGCTCATTCGGGCCAGGTAGAAAGGATAAGCTTCATCTTCATTGTGTCGGGAGAAGAACTGGTAGAATGGCGTTCCATTGGGCTGGTTCTCTATAATAGGGTGCAATAATGATGGAGAAGTGTCATTCGTAGTACAACCCGGTGACCTGGGTTTATAACCATGGGTTACCACGTCAACAACTGCCTACAACATTCTCTCTGAAGGACTGTACCCATAGATCTGTAGGGATGACATCGTAGGTTGTAGGGGGATGTGATGTGTTTTTCGAGATCATATTGTACTTCCGCTGATTTATAATTAAATTACAGTAGTACACGGCAGTATGTCAACCATTCTTGGCGTCACAGTGCTGGCCTTTATCAACTCGTACATGGTGCTTGTCTTCTTCAAAACCATTTTCTTGGTGCTCGTCATCGGTCAGTTTGCCCTGCCACTTTACTTTTAAGAGCTTGAAGAAATCCTCCTAATTTTTCTCACTCCAGGGGTAATCCACGCTTTGGTGCTTCTGCCGATTGTGCTGGCTGTCACCACTCCGTACGTAGAACGGCTGAATTCACGACTTCAGCGGCGGTCTGACGAGAAAAAGACGAAGGTGGCGACGACTGCTTCCAAAGGCAGTGTCTATGCTATCACAGTACCAGTTAACGTCTCCTGACAATCGCCTCGCTTAGATTACAGTATTGTTGTTCCTTTCCTGTACATATGCTATACTATAAAAATGTTTTGTTGAGGTCAATATCGTAATTTCAAATGGGTGTTATCGCGGTTAACACATCGAAAAGTATCGTAAATAGGCCATTAATAAAAAATCCTGCCCTCATCCAATAAAAGAAGTTTTGAATTGTTTTTCTAGCAAGATTAGAGTTGGCTTATCAATCCGAATAAAAGAATGAATTAACTCCTCACTCATTCAGTGAGACCACTGAAGTGATAAGTGCTTCGATTGATGAGTGGCTAACGGACGATTGTGGCTATCACTGCCCATCATAGGCCGATGTCAGACTTTGCGAATCGCGCGATTCGCTACTAGCGATTCGCGCAATTCGCTACTAGCGATTCGCGCAATTCGCTAGCGTCCGCGGTCGCGTTGCGGTACCAGCCAATTGAGTGATCCACAGCCGCGACGCGACCGCAGACGCTAGCGAATAGCGCGGTCACAAAAGTCTGACATTCGGCCTTAAGCCGTGCAAGCAATATCCAGGGTTGCTGACCACTTGTCTGTGTCTGCTACAAGGTCTTTCAGGACATGGAGCGTTTTTTCAAAATGGTTACCTGAATGTTGTAGAGGCTCATGTGAGGAACACAGAACCATGGTTCATTTTTCCTGAACGCCCCGGGTATGTCAAAACAGCGGGGAAGAAATGGTCCAAAGTTCGATCCCCCGTGATGACAAATTTTTGCAATTATGTTGGCGCCTTCCAAATTGCCGCAGAACACGACAATGACATCTATTCGACGATGGCGCCATTTGGCGGCAATCTGGGGCGCCAAACTATATTGCAAAAATTAGTCATCACCGGGATCGAACTCTGGACCATTTTCTTCACAACTTTTTTGACATTCCTGGAGGCGTTCAGGAAAAATGGATCATGGTTTGTGTTCCCTCGCATGAGCCCCTACAATATGCAAGTAAACCTTTTCGAAAAAAGCGCTTCATGTCTGAAAGACCATCCTTGTTAGTCCCCACACTGCCATTGTACAAATTCAGGCCCATGATTACTGAAAGCTTTGGCGATAATTTGACAAGATAACTACTCCGCCAACTTCTCCTCTTTGTATGAACATCTGCTCGATAACCTTAGTCCATCAAGAAACTAATCGCATGGTTCTACGGCAAAATTAGACGCCGAATGTGAGGCTTGAGAGGGAAAGGATGAGGAATGTAGAGCGATGATCGGTGTTGCTAATTGTTTTCAAAATCCAAGCATCTACACTCATTTACTTTCTAAGACTTGAGAAAAAAACGTTCGTTACCATGCAAGGCAACCTCTACTCGAAAGCGCGACTCTTGAATGAAGGATGGCCTAGATCATTGTTTCGAACAACAAAAGGCGCATATCGCAAGATAGGGGGCTTCCTTCAGGGCTAAGCCTAGGAGAGGCGCTAATTCCGAGAAATGGAAACTCGCCTCACGCTACTCTTGTGTCTCTTGTCCTCCCCACCTAAGGGCTTTCCTCCCGTTCTTTAACAAAAAAAAGATGACTTACCGCGTCTTAAATGCATTACTTCCACAATGTTCCCGTACCTCAAGATAGCGCCCGACAAAATAATAATAATAAATAAAGTCAATAACTTTGTCCTGCCCGAGACCCATAGGCTCGGGAGGGACGGAGGACCATTTGCCCTGTGTGAGGCTTGTGATTCCGGAACTTGTACCGTCTAAACGTCAGGGACGGTAGTAAACTAGCCAAACTTGCACGTTAACGGGCAGTTTTAATGAGCACGTCACGTGGAGGTGCAAGTTTTCCCGATGATGGTGGAAATCGCTTCTATGGCACCTAGGAGACCTATTTATGAAACTCTGAAGAAAGCTTCCCAGGTGAGCTGCAGCTCCCTGGCAGGGTGGTTCCTTGTTACGCGCAGCCGTAAAACGCGCAGGAAGGGCTCGCTGACAGAAAACGGGACGCGGAGGGGTGTTTGGAGAGACGCAGGTGACGCCCGTTACGCGCAGCAAAAAGTCCTTCGGAGGACTTTTTGGAGTTGGCCAACTTCAAACTGCCAGGTGCGTGGGTCAAAGCACGGTGTTGGAAAGGGAAAGGGAGGCTTGCATTGATTCGTCAGTGGTGTAGCGCCTGCGGTCTACGTTGGTGTTGGATCAGTCGCGGGATCAATACTACGATAAGTCTAAAGGCAACCTTCGTAGGCTATTCCCTTTTCTCTACAACCCTTTCACCGCCGATAAGAAGGGCTCCTTAGTGCAGTGGTAACGATGCCGCTCATGGGACGGTGCACCGAAAGTTCGAACCCGTGTGTGACGCAAGGTTTGCAGGCAACGTGGGGCTCACCACTTCCACTATGGCAAATTACCAATGGCTCAATAGGAACGTTCCACGCTGCCGCTGGCAAGGTTGCTGGATCTACACCGCTTGGAGTCTAAGATTTGCAAACAACATCCGTTGCTTACCTCTTCCGATGCTGTGATCGAGTGATCCCTGGTGCACTGGCAAAACCCGGCTTTGAGTCCTGTCATCCAGGGTTCAAGTCCGAGAGTGGCGCAAGTTTTGCAGGTAGTGTGGCGAGGCTGGCGGTTTCAAGAAGGGTCAAGTCCATGTTTCCACGTTTCTGTTCCTCGTCAATGGGTGAAAATCACCACACATTTTATTGCCAGTCTAGGGCACTTTACTACCGCCCCAGCTGCCCTTTCTGGGTCAATCTGCTCCGTTTTTGTGTAATCAAGAAAAGTATCTTCCTGAAAACGTGAGCCAGTGATTACACGTTTTTGTTCTGGAAGTTGTTCTCGCGGAGGAATACGTGAACAGAGAAAAACAACTTATTCATTTATCAGACGTAGGATATCTTCACCACAGTCAGCACTGAATACACGCTCATGTTTGCTTCGCGTTTGTTTCAGTTAGGGACGGTGGAAATACATAGAATAGAAGGTGGCACAGTTGGAATCCGATTTAAGTACACAAGTGCACATTGATAGCGCAGTCATCAATTAGCAGAGCGCTGCACAACAGAGAGTCCCTATTACCGGAATAAGCCACATGGCATACGTGAGAAGTGAGCTAGTGAAAGATGTCTATCTGGGCAATCGCCATTGCCTCTTTAAAAGCGACGTCAATCTGTTCTGTGACAGGATCAAATTGTAATGTCGAAGAGCTACGCCGACGAGTGCTGAGGCCTGGCATCATCATCAATTTCACGACCAACGGCGTCACAAATCCTGCACCGACAGACGCACGAATATCTCGGATGGGCAGTATAAAATCTGAAAAATTCGCTATCATCTTGTGATTGTGAAAATGCAACAGAAGATTTAAGTCGATCAGGCGAATCATTGGGGGTCGTTAGATGGTCAGTTCCAGAAATCTTTTGGACTTCAGATAAATTTTCAGAATGAATTCAAACCATACAAGATCATAAATAAAAATGTTCCCTCACTCTTCTCCAGGTCGCAAACGCTACGCCCAAAAATCTTTCTGGCATTCACCGCTTAAAGGAATCCTTCACGGAAAAATCATGATTCTATTTCAGCCATAAATCACTGGCTTGAGACTCATTATCCACGATAAGAATGAAAAGAACAGAAATATTGCTTTCGTTTTGGTAAAAAATTCGAAAAATCGAAAGGGCTGCTACGCGTTCAAAGTGCCCACGGACGTCTTTCACAAATGCTGGCGACGGGGATGCTTCCACTTGGTTCTTGGAGTGCATTCACTAGAAACTCTTTCTGGCCTTCTGCTTTATTGCATTCACATCTTACACTTCTACTCCATCCTATTCTATCGATCGATTTGTCTCTACTCTCCGAAATCGCGCGCTTTAACCCGATTCTTTCATTGGCGTTTTACCGTCGCCGGTCAAAGGCCAACTTCTTTCCTGCCTCGCCTTTGGCTCCGCCCGAATTACCTTCGATGTCCATACGTGTAGTTTTTGTACGTTTGTTTCTCTTCGGAAACCGAATCTTCATGCGAAACTTTGTGTGCTGTTTCCAGTGATCACAACTGACACATTCATGTCAAGAAAGAATGCAAGAGTTTTCCGCCAGGATTCCTTCAAAGGATGGAGTGAAAGGAACACAGTCATTTCGAGACCGTAGGCATACTTTTCAGATCAATTTAGGAGTGTCCAAGTTCGACTTTGCATGAATCTTGGCATATTTTCAGAATAGAATAGTTTAGTACTGAGCTTCCGACCAAGATTGTCAATAGCTTTATTTGGCCGACGTTTCGGTGCTTTCACCTTCTTCAGAGCCTGGAAAAGTCGAAAGCTATTTAGGAAACTACCCGTCCAAACACTATTTCAACCTACAAGATTCATTCAACAGGGAGTAAACTACTAAAACAATGTCATGGAGGGAGATGAGAACGAACCTTTAGAGATGCTGGCCAGAGAGGTCCACCTGCCACCCCGAGCTGGTAGTAACGTGGCTTAAATAGGTAAAGCCTTCAGGTCATTTGCTTTAGGGACCTCCGGAGGGTTGA